GGGGGGGATTTATTTAGCATCTATATATAACAGAACAACCATTCAAAGGAAACACACCTTTGTCTGCAGTAGCTGTAACTGTGAGATCAGTTCCTTAACTTGCTTTTGTGCTTCATCAAATTTTTGTTTTAACTGTAATAAAAGACAAGTACAATGAGACAACATAACTTTCCTGTCCATTTCTTTTAAATGCAAAACCAACCAATAGCATGCCATGCAACCATATTCAAAGCTCAAGTCAAATGCCTCATTATAAGTTGCCTCCTTTTCTTCTTGTTCTTCCCTGATAATGTCCTCATATATATCCATTGATTCCATTGTGCGTGGGGAAAGGAGAGGGTTGACTTTACCTAGTTTAAAAAAAGGACATTACAATAATTATTTAAATCTAAAAAGTTCTATCCTGCTATTTCTGTGATACACATATATCAACAAATTACTTTCAATAAAAACTATGAATGTGATGTACTCAATTTAAGACTCATTAATGAAACCCACCTCTGTGCTCATCAATCTTAGGGCTGTTTTCCAGGCCAGAGTAAATATCCACCGAGTCCTCATTGTGATGCAGAGTACCTGTAACAAACACTGATAATGTCATAATGCAACAGCAACTCCAGCATATACACTTGACCAATACATGCAAGTTGTGTTTTCAGAGCTTTGAAAGCCCTGAACCTGTTAAGACGAGAAATTGGGAAATAGATCAAAAGAGGTAAATAAAACAATATTATCTGGATTAAATTACATATGGATCAAATATCAGACAGCACACTCCAGTGAGCTACATGTGACCAGGTATTAATGTGATCATTCCCGACCTCAATTTCAAGTGCAGTTGTTGTGATGCTCATGCATCTAATGTATTTATCTACACTTGGTTGATTTTGCACGACTTGCCTTTGATATCATGAAACTGTTGAGGAATTATCGTTTAATTATTATTATTATTTAATAGTGTTATTTTTAAAAACATTTCTTGTCGATTACTTAGAATTTTTTTTTATCAACTTACAGTATAAAATAGTGTTAAAGGCTTAAGTAAATACTAGATAATAGGTACAACACGGTTGCACTCAACCTGAAAACTGCATGTTAACTAGGTGAAAATAAAGAAATGCCTGTTGCACGGGAGAGAAAGACTGTCTTACCAAACGGCTTGTCAACAAGATCTCCATAATGTTCATCTGTTAAATCCATTTTAGTCAGCTACTGAAAGACAAAAAAATAGCACATTAAGTTCCTGAAAACAGTGACAATACCAGCAACAGTGGGCATGTGTCAGTTCAACTACACCACTTCCTGTCATGTAGTGAAGAAACACTGTACTGAAATAAAGTCAGTTAAATGTGATACTAAAAGAACCAACTTAATATTAAAGTAATAACCCACCCAACAATTCCACTATAATTCGTACGCAAACTACACTTGTACGACCATGGATTTACACAAACTCCGAAAAAATTAAAGCAATCAAAATACAGTATTACTGTAGTACGTTTACAAAGTGAAATCAAATTAAAGTAACGTTATATGAACAATACCTATATCTCTGGTGGTGAGCTAACGACCACAGGCGGATATAAATCTGTAAGATGAGCCAAACACTATAAAGAGGACTTCAGGATCTGACACCCATGCTAATGCCCGTGTATAATGACATTTTCAGTTAATTAGCAATTTCAAATTTTCTTGTAAACAGCGATTTAAAAATTTCTTGTAGCATACTTCCACCAGCTCCGCGCCAACCTTTCACCATTCACATTCGCCAAACCGGAAGTGACGTCATTTTCCCGCGGTCTCTCCTTTTCTAAAAAAAATGTCATTAACGTTAACATTTAATATTTTTAATTAAAAACACTAAAACTAATTATATATATAAGGAATGGTCTCTGATCTCCTATCAGATGTTCTCTAAACTCTTCAAAATATCACTTAATTGTAAAATTGTAAAAAACAGATCAATTCAAACAAGTGCAATATCCAGCCAATGAAATACATAAATATTTTTTTTTTAAATCACTACAGAGGCTTCCATATCAGTTAATTGTAAAACATGGAAAATGGATATTATACAATTGGAAAAGTTATGGAAGCCTCTGTAGTGACTTAAAAAAAATTTTATTTATGTATTTCATTGGCTGGATATCGCACTTGTTTGAATTTATCTGTTTATGAGCATGTATCTTTTTTTGAGTCAGTTTTTTTCAATTCATCTGTCAAATCAATTTAGTTATTATTGGCAAATCGGTCTGAATTTGAATGAACTAATGTCCAGTATATCATGAACAGATTTGAATTGTTTTCTCACAGGTTTGCAGCAAGGTATTTTAGCAGCTCTCCCCCAGTATTTCAGAGGCTCTTCTTCACCAGCGAAGAGGCTGCTTCCATCCAGTATGGGCCCAGACGGATGAAATTACGGGACCTGATGGGGGCCACCCTCCGCTTCCTCCAAAGCGATTGTGAGAAATTCCGTGTCCTGTGGGACTGGAGTGCCTGTGTTTCACAGCTTCTCACCAGTGACGTCATGGTCAGAAGGTATTGCCAATTTGTAGGTCAGACAAAGCCTCTCAGAACGTCCAGACATTTTTCAGAATATCCTCAATCTCTATCTTTGCTCAATTTCTTTTTGTGTGTGTTTTTAAGCTACACTGCCCGGTGCCTTGCCCTGGTGTCCCACATGACAGATAACCAGAAAACAATATTTTTGAGGAAGGTGCTTTCGAGTGAAGAGATTCTCCATCTGAAAATGAAGTAAGTTTGAATATCTTTTATTTTAAGGCGTGTTTTGTCACCTTGTTCTAATTGTTCAGAAGTTAGTCAGTAGCTTTAGCTCTCAAAAAAATGACAATATCATATCTATGTAGGTCACTTGAGGAGACACAGCTGCTGGAGGTAGAAAAAGCTCTGGTTTTGGCCAATCAGGGCTCAGCAGTATGGCGGAAAGAGAGGGTAAAAAAGGTCACCCGCGGTCAAGTGGTGACAGAAGACCTGACAAGGAGTGTTACTGTGGTGTGTGGGGTGATTCTACCTAGACGGACCCCTCGACAGGATGAACAGGTCAGACGGACATCCAAAAGCAGAATATTAAGCCAGATTTAATATAACTATAAACAAAGCCAGTTGTATTTTTTTTTCAATACCTCTATTAGTGTATTATGGGAGAATGTGCATGTATTGTAATGTCACTAAATCTGTCATTCTCAGACAAGTTTAAGCAATTTAGTGCTGGTGGATTCAACCTGTCAAAATCTTCGGCGACTCGCCATGGCTGTGGTGTCCCAGAAGCCCATTCTTTTGGAAGGGCCAATTGGATGTGGAAAAACGGCTCTTGTTGAATATCTTGCTGCGGTCACTGGGCACATTAAAGCCCCTGACATCCTTAAAGTTCAGCTTGGAGATCAAACCGACAGTAAGGTGAGATTTGTTTGAATTTTGAAATTCTAGTTTTGTTTTACAATATTTTTAGTTTATCTGCTGTTAAGCACTCAAACATTTTTCATGCCTTTGTTTTCTGTAGATGTTGCTGGGTATGTACCGCTGCACAGATATTCCTGGAAAGTTTGTGTGGCAGCCGGGGTCTCTGACACAGGCAGTCTCTAAAGGTTACTGGATTCTGCTGGAGGACATTGATCACGCTCCTTTGGATGTGGTGGGTGGTGAATGCACAAAAACATGGAAAACAGTCTTTAGAATTGTTTCTATTATGACTATTAAAGTCTATAAAGCATGGGTAAAGACGTTTATTTTGTTACGGAGTTGTTGCTGATTTGCATTAATTAGAGCTGTTTGCATTTACAGTACATTTGGTGCCGTCTAAGAACTATAGCATATGTTGTTTTAAAAAGTGAAGTGAAGTGACATGTGGCCAAGTATGGTTACCCATACTAGGAATTAGTGCTCTGCATTCAACCCATCCTAAGTGCACACACACAGCAGTGAACACACACAAACCGTGAACACACACCCGGAGCAGTGGGCAGCCATTTTTATGCTGCGGCGCCCGGGGAGCAGTTGGGGGTTCGGTGCCTTGCTCAAGGGCACCTCAGTCGTGGTATTGAAGGTGGGAGAGAGCGCTGTACATTCACTCCCCTACATCCCCCCCCCCCCCCTACAACCCCTGCCGGTACGAGACTCGAACCCGCAACCTTTGGGTTACGAGTCCAACTCTCTAACCATTAGGCCACAACTTCCCCCCATTGCTTCTACATGTGAGAAAAAAACTAAATGCTTTTATGTAATATATATATATATATATACACAGTGGGTACGGAAAGTATTCAGACCCCCTTAAATTGGTCACTGTTATATTGCAGCCATTTGCTAAAATCATTTAAGTTCATTTTTTTCCCCTCATTAATGTACACACAGCACCCCCTGTGTAAATATATATAAATAAAACTATTTATTCTTTTGATAAATGGTTTAAATGGTTTGGACTGCTGTTAAATTGTATAGTTTAGAAGCTGAAGCTATATTTAATCATGCTCTTGTTGTTTTTTTCTATAGATATCGGTTCTGCTCCCTCTCATGGAGAACAAGAAATTGACTATTCCAGGACGTGAGGACTGCATTCAGATGGCCCCATCATTCCAGTTTTTTGCAACACGAAGGTAAGATTTTTATTCACCGCGCCTCCGTCCTCCTACGAAGCTCCAGCCGTGGGACCCGGAGGCCCCGATCGATAAGAAAGCGACCCTCAGACAGGCGTGGCCCCGGGAGAGGCGCCGGGGCAGGCCGGGAAAGGCGCCTCGTCCCGGGGTGCGAATGAATAGTGTGTGTGTGTGTAATTACAAGGCTGCAATTATTTCATCAAAAATACAGCGAAACACTAATTTTGTGAAATATTGCAATTTAAAATTACTGTTTTCTATTTGAATATATTTTTATATAAATATAATTTATTCCTGTGATACCAAAGCTGAATTCTCAGCAGCCATTACTCCAGTCTTCAATATGCTGATAAGAAATATTCAAAACTAAATTTATTACATCAGTTTAATAATGATTAAAATCATTATTTTTAGGACGTTTTACAGTGGAGGAGCCTGGCATAGACCGCAGAGTTCACATGCTGCACTTCTGGACAAATACTGGAGTAAACTGCAGATTGGCAACATGAGCCGAGAGGAACTTAAACAGGTAAGCTGTTCCCTAACACTGAAATAGATTTTGTGTAGGTCCTGATAACATCTTTCATTTCTCATTTTGTTTCTCTGTTCAGGTCCTAATGAAGAGGTACCCTAACCTGGCAGTGGTGGTGGAGCGTCTTTTGGACATCTACTGCCAGCTAACAGGAAACAGACATAAAATCAGCTCTAGTCCGCAGGGTCCAAGTGCAGCCCAAAACATATCAGATGAACACATCACATCACTGGAGGGCAGAGGCCTCTCACTGAGGTAACACTTTTAATTAGAATTAGAAGAAAGTATTCAAAATCATCATTGCATAATTATAAAAAAAAGCATAATGATATAATATACTGATACAAATATTATGTACTACAGGGTTCCAAACCATTTCGTGCTAAATTGTACCTTCTCTAAATAGTTAAACATCAAGTCAGATTTGTGCAGTTTCTTTTAAATGCTTGTGGGCATTTACAAATATCTCTACATCGAGAAATGACACCATAGACTTATCAATAAATGGTGAGTGTCATTTAGGACCTCACAATGTAACAAACAGTTCAACTAAAGCAGAAACTACAATAAAACCCTTACTCCAGAGTTGTGATGTATCAGTCTGTGTCCATCCATTGTGTAGTTGGGCCTCAGGCTGTTCATCAGCTTTCCACTGGACTCTGCTGTAGTCAATGACACATCGATCTCTCTGTTCCCACTGTGGAACCCTAGCCAGAAACACAGTATGAGATTTGGGCCAGGGCCAATCATTTATATAACTAGCTGTCTACAGTAGATACCACACACTGACGCAGAATGTCATACCTGTCTTGTAGAGGGTTTTTATTTTTTTCTGTAGGCCTACATATTCAAAGCAACAGAATTTTTTTGTAATATGTTTTGTTTTCAAATTTTTTTTGATACTCGGTACTTAGGGTAGCAGTGAATATGCCTTTTGAAGCTCTGAAAGTGTGTCAGATATGAGGGTTGTCCTGTCAGAAGTTCAGTGGTGTGGAGACCCTGCTGTTATTAATCAATACACTTTCACTTCCTCGCTCAATCCCCTACATTGTAGAGACCCTGGATGCTGTCTGCCTACGGTCATGCCTCCTTACAGTGTTTTGGCGAATGTGATTTCAAGTGGAAGTAAAAACAAAAACAAAACAATGACTCACCATGGCTACATTTATTCGAAGTAAAACAATAATATTGTAGAATATTATTACTGCACACCATGGTACATTTTTTTTTAACTTTTTTTGATGAATAAAAGAAAAAATAAAGAACAGCATTTATTTGAAATAGAAATCTATTGTACGAATGTAGAGGTCTTTGTCACCTTTGATCAATTAATGCAGATAGGGCTAATGCACCCTTGCTAAATAAAAGTATTCTTTTCTTTAAAAAAAAATCTTGCCACAAACTTTTTAATATATATGAATAAATGTATGTGTGTGTATATATATATATATATATATATATATATATATATATTTATGGTTATAAATCAGATATATAAATCTGAGTAAATATGAGTGTATTAAATATACTTTCTTGCATTCTTTGCATCCATGTTGTCATGGTAAATGCTTGGTAACAAAAGTTCTTTTTTTTTTAACAGGGACTTGCTGAAATGGT